TCGGAAAAGCATCCTATAAGGACAAACCCCTATAGTTAATTACATCTTAAATGACTGAAGTCACCTAAGAAGACCCTCGATAAAAATCAGGGAATATCATCTTCAAAGAGGTCAAAAGAATAGGACTTTACAACGAAATCGGACAAAGAGGTGCAAAGGGGGAAAAACTTAAATCTGAAACATTATTAAGGAATCTAAATGAAGAGAAACTAGGGAAAACCACAGATCCTGAGGCGAACCTCAGTAGGTTCCCAGTCTATCCTATGGTTTGACTTCAGCTTTAAGAAGAAATTATTAAAGTGTTTCATTCTGCTAATTTTATTTAGTTAGGGCTTATATTTGTGCGACAGGGTCACACAAACCGCCTAGAAGATATGAGGGTTTACGTCATATCGGACGACAACCTCGGAACCTAGAACGAGTTAGGGCTTAAATCGTACAGCAGAGCTATACGAATGCCTAAAACTTAAATCTGAAACATTATTAAGGAATCTAAATGAAGAGAAACTAGGGAAAACCACAGATCCTGAGGCGAACCTCAGTAGGTTCCCAGTCTATCCTATGGTTTGACTTCAGCTTTAAGAAGAAATTATTAAAGTGTTTCATTCTGCTAATTTTATTTAGTTAGGGCTTATATTTGTGCGACAGGGTCACACAAACCGCCTAGAAGATATGAGGGTTTACGTCATATCGGACGACAACCTCGGAACTTAGAACGAGTTTATGACTTAAATCGTACAACAGAGCTATACAAATGCCTAAAGAAAAGGTGGAGGATTTATGTCACGCTAGGCGAACAACCTCGAAATCCTATGGATTGTTGTTTAATTTATAGGAAAAAGAATGGTTTTGCTGGAGAAGACATGTTCTGCTGTTGAAGATGGCCGTGTTGCCCACTGCGCTAGCTCCAAGTTCCTCGATGTGACGAGTTTGAGTTTTCTAGGGTGTCTAGTTATAGTGTCAAATCAAATGGCCCTATGGTTGTAGTCCTCTAAACATCCTATGCAAAAAAGAAACATGTTTGAAGTTATATAACGTAAAGTCAATGCAGGAACAAAGCAATAGAATGCACGTGGAACAGGAGTAGACAAAAACATGAGCAGTATAACATGCTATACAAGAAGAACAGTAGCAAGTAGAAACAAGACAAGTGTAACATGCTTTACAGTACGGTAGCAGGTAGCAACAGGAAAATTATAACATGCTATACAAGAAGAACAACAGCAGGTAGAAACAGGAAAATTAAGTGCTGTAAAATGTGAAGCAAACCTGTACACCCTTGAGATCCGATGTTCCTTAAGTGTAGCAAGCCTAAATGCATCTCAAAAAGCAAAGTCTGGAAGAAAACGTCAATCAGGAAATCCGAGGAAAAGCGAAAAACTCGAGAAAATCAACGAAAGAGACTTTAGTGAAAGAAAATCCTCAAAACTCATGGGAAAATCCCGAAAGAAAAGAAAAGTAACACAAGTGCTCTGTCCCGAAGCTTTGATAAAACAAAGAAAAAAATTCGGATGGGGGACCCCAAGCACTCGTATGGGGCTAGGCTCAGCTATATTTATTCTCGAGGGTCCACGAAGGCTACTCGGTCACCCGAACGTTTAGAGCCCTCCACTCGTCTAGAAAGGTGTCTTGAACCTCACTTAGGGGGCTATTTCCCAGCCTAAACAGATATTCGTCAGGTGGACAACATTTTTGACATACACATAAATCTTGAAAAAGATTATCAAATTTTGTTTTATGAAGAAGAATGTATTTTATATTTTGAAATTTTGTTTTAGAAATTGTTGTTGTCCACAAGACGATTACACTGTCGGGCATAAGATCGCCGACCGACTGAGGAGGTTCGAGCCATCTCTTGCTAGACTTATGTCGGTGAAGGATACCATATCCTATTGTTCATCAAATGCCTGGACCTTGATGTTATAGGACATGCCATCTTTCTGCTCTATCTTCGCTGTGCCTTTATCATCACCACCGTACGCCCCAAAACGACTACTTGCGACCTTGCTTGATGGTTTCACGTATAGCAAAAGGCTATACGTGGACACTTATGGATCGGGCATAAGCATCGAAAACCAAATTAAGAAGCAAGGAAAAAAAAAGAACAAAAATGGGGTGAGAGAGAGGAGACACTGATCCATCTAAAACACCGAAAAGGAGATTGGATCAGTTCTCAAAACTCGTATCGAAAAGACCTGGAAAAGTAGGGCCCGAGGTCTTTCCTAACAAACATAAAATATTCCTTTGCGCTGATTCTCCAAACCCCAAGAACGCAGGATTAATCAGATCAACTAAATACTCTTCCCAAAATGAGATTTAAAATTTTCCAAGTCTCGAAAGAAAATAAACGCGGGGAGAACATTGTCAATATTTCCAAATTTGTATTAAGTCTGAAATTCTTCCAACTTGATCCATAACTCCATATATTAAATAAGCATAGAGATCTCCCTAT